GTTTTTCGATTGGCGAACAAAAAATGCGGGCAGGTCGGGATGAGCGGCGGCATCCTATTCTTTGTTGCTATCTCACTGTTGGCACTATTTATCAACAACTTCAGATTCCCTGTGATTTGGAGCGGTCTGGCCAGACACATCGATGATGTAAAAACGCACCTCAGCAAACGCTTGGCTCTCTGTTACCAGAGCACACGTTTCCTCATCTCGACAGTGCAAGAAAGGCGGTGCCGATTAAATCAATGCATTATGCTCACTCTAACATTGCAAATTGCATTACAATGCAATTTAAGCGTGGTGACGGTGTTGAGCGTGCTGTGTGGGAATTTAGGTTGAGGCAGCCTGCCCGAACAAATGACGCCGCTTTCTCTCTGAGTGATTGGCAATAGGTCAGCAAATGATACTGAAGTCATCAGTCGATGCCACTGCGCGGACACCCGCTCCTCTGTGGCTGGGAAGTGCCATCGCTCCGCTACCACCCCATCGACTGTGACGACCTGCGTGTTCTTTGCTGCCGGCTCTGTCGCACACCTTCCCTGTGATCGGGGCGTCGCTATGGGCCTACTGAGACGTTAAGCATTAGGGAACATCAGCCGTCACAGGCAGCCCACCTCGGGGCCATCACCGGCAGCCACTGGCCACGATGAAAATGCTGCCTCTGTGCGCGTCTCCTCCACGTTCGTGCGCTGTCGGTCCCTGGGGAGGCCGGGCCACCTCCGGGCCGTTGACGATCTGTGAGCGGCGCGCTGCCGGTCCCCTGGGAGACCGGGCTACCTCGGGCCGGTGACGATCTGCGAGCGGCGCGCGCTGCCGGCCCCCGGGGAGGCCGGGCCTCCACCGGGCCGGTGGACAGTCTGGCGAGCGGCGCGCGCTGCCGGTCCCCCGGGAGGCGGGCACCTTCGGGCCGGTGACGATCTGCGAGCGGCGCGCGCTGACAGCCAGATGGGACGGGAGATGCTCTAATGGGACCGGCAGCCCCGATGGGCTCCGGAGATAACGCCGCGCGCCACCCGGGGCGCGTCAGAGCGGCGCGCCGCCGTCGCGCTGCAGCCGGAGACGAGGGCCGCAGCCAGACGTCTGCCCGGGAGTCGATGACACGCCGTTGTCATTTCCGTCGTGTGTGAAGACGCACGCGCATCACGCACACCCGCCAAACGTGTCAGCCTTTGTGGGCGGACGTGATGATAGTAGGTACTGTAGCAGCAGCTGCTGTCCGGCAACGCCAGCAGCGGCGTGCTGCTCGCAAATGCCCTTATTGATCCGACCACGTTTGCCATCGAGCAGCGCTGCCTCAGTGTAGCGTGTGGCACAGTTGGACCTAAATCAGCCAGACTGCGCCATACTAAACAGAGCCCAGTGCTGGGATGACGGCTGTTTTTATACCACCGGCCTGCCTGGCCAGACTACCCCCAATATTGGTGAAGCTGCAGCTAATCGTAAGCTACGCCAAAGGTACTTTGCAAAGCTAGCAAATAAAAACAGTCGTGCATCTAGACTAATACCTTTTTAGTTTAAGATGTCATCGTCCTCAGACACTGTCCAGGACGTACAATTCATTCCACCGTGGTAATGTGTTGGCGGACCGGCAGCCACAAGGTGTGGAAGCTCGTGTGGCCGAGCTGTACCCACTTTGCTGCCGTCCAGCGTCGGACCCCGCTTCGCCGCTCGTGCAGTCGTCTGTACACATTGTTTACAGCCCGACTGCCGGCTGCTTACTGCGCCGCGTCACGCGACTGGAGCCCGGTCGGCGCCGGTGGTGCTGTGTGTGTGTGTGATGTGTGTGTATGTGTGTGTGGTGTGTGTGTGTGTGTGTTGTGTGTGTGTGTGTGTGTGTGTGTGTTGTGTGTGTGTGTTGTGTGTTTGTGTGTGTGTGTGTGTGTGTGTGTGTGTTCGCTGGGAGGACATCAAAGCTGGTTCCACTTCATGCCACTTCGAACCCGGAGACGTGTCTGGCGGGGGACGGGCAGTCACATCAAAACGAGTTCGCCGCGCGTGCTTTCAAGGGAGTTTTCTGAGACACTGCGTCATTCAGGACCTTTCTGGGGCGTTCTAAGTCGCTGCCCCACTAGGACCTAATGTGTTCTACGTGATCACAAAGCCAATGGCGGATAGGGTAACGCAGGACGGAAGTGTAGGGCCTCTCCAGCACCGCCCCAGGTAGAGGCGCCCGCAGCACATGTGCGGATGGCCGGCAGCTCTGCGGCGTAAGCGGACTTCTCGGTGCCGGCACACCCTGGCTGGGCGGTCCTGGCCCGCCACCCAGCCCGCCGCGCCGCGCCGTCTATGCTACAGACAGTCATCACACGGCCGTACCCTAGCAGGGCGGCCGAAGCTCGTGCTTAGGCCGCCACGCAGTCTGCAGTACGGACTTCAATCACCAGGCCGAGCCCGCGCTCCTCGCCGTATCGCGGCTCCTGCCGGGTGGCTGGCAGCGGCGCGGCGCCATCATGCGCTGCAGCGTGGCGGGCGTTGTGCCTGAGCCCGGCCCGGGCCGGGCCCGGACGGCAGGTCCGTCAGGTCGGGGGGGGGGGGGGGGGGGGCAGGGGCAGGGGTGGGGAGTACTCTCGCTGCTCCGGAGCGGGGTCACATGCACCGACCTCGCATGTTCTCGGACATACCCGGCTGCCGGCAGCGCCTCCACGTACCGCCATCTGAATACTGACCTGAACTCCTGACGCCAGCAAAGCGTGAGACTATTCATGGTTTGTGGAGGCAGATGAAGGCCTAGAGGCGGTCAATAATGGGACTATTCATCTGAAAGGTAAGTGTTTCGTACTCTGGGGAAGTGCCTTCCATCTTCCTTGTGTTGGAGGTCATTGATGCATCGCATCAGTGCAGCGATTCGCGAGGAGTTCAGCCGCTGCGCTTGGTTGGTTTTTGCCGGAAATCAGTCCTACGGGAGTCGTGAAAAACGATTCGAGAATGAGCTCGCTGCAGACTGCTGATAACCTTCCATTTAACTCCATTCTTGAATAGGCGCTAGCTATGCAGAGTGAACACTTGTTTCAGCTGTTGTCTATCCCCCCACGGTGTATAGCGACTGGATGACGAGGCGTTGGCGCACCCGGACTCCAGACGGGACTCAGCCAGCTCTCGGCGGGACTCAGCCGGCCCCGGGCGGGACTCAGCGGGCTCCGGGCGGGACTCAGCCAGCCCCCGGACGGAACTCAGCCAGCTCCGGGCGGGACTCAGCCGGCCCCGAGCGGGACTCAGCCGGCCCCGGGCGGGACTCAGCGGGCTCCGGGCGGGACTCAGCCGGCCCCGGACGGGACTCAGCCAGCTCCGGGCGGGACTCAGCCAGCTCTGGGCGGGACTCATACGGTGCTCCACGCAGGACTCAGCCCAGCTTCAGCTGTGGCACGCTGCGTCGCAATGGCCCGCCGCTGCCGACGGCACGTCGCATCGCATGACGGCCACCACTCAATCAGGTGCGCTTCTGGCGGGCGCCACGGCTCCGGACGCCTAATTGCGGCCGCCATTTTCGTCGCCGCGCCGGCCCGGCCGGCTGCCGCCGCCTCCTCCGCCGATTCCACCGCCGATTGTGGCCGTAATTAATTAGCATCACTCGGGGCGCGACAGACGATATGGCCCTGTGTGACGGATTGTCGGACGCGCGGCCGGCCAGACACGTGGACCGGTGACGGATGACCTGTCGCGCGGCGCAGGGCGTCAGGCGGGCGGGGAGGGGCACGGGCTTGTCGGTGACCGGCCGGGTCTGGGCCGGCTGTCCGCGTCAGGTAATTAGCACTATCTGTGACAACAGAGGGAGCTCGTTCCAAATGGAGCTGGTTCAGGGCAGGTCTCCAGTCTGTTCTGTGACGTCGGGTCGTGATTACGGTGACAAAACAGATTCGTCCTTGAAGAAATGTCAGGAGGGCCGGCGCGAAACAAAATGCTGAAAGGAAAGGGGCGTGCAAAGCTCGATGACGCCATGGAGACGGGTTTGAGACCTCTTTGCGGCGGTTATCATTGTGGAAGTACTAAAGATTTGCTGGGGAGTAGGGTGGGGACAATTGCTTCCCTTACCCCACGATTAGCTGGTCCTGGTACGACGTATTTCATCCTCAGGCAAAAGAAAGTAGGGATCTTTACCACCAACTGCTCACATTTCGCAGGTGCCTCTCCTCATCCTCGATGCGCCAGCTGGACTGGGTGTAGCACCGGCTATTACATACCACAGGGCACGTTTAGCTGTTTCCGTTTTCCCAACTTTTGGTACCTGACGCCTCATTGAAAAAGTTTCCCAGAATGACCGTGCCCCCCCAACAAAGATCGACGGATTAAATAAAATCACGGCTACCATGAACCAATTGCGGCGCGAAGAACAGCCACCAATGTTTCGCTGACACAGTCATGCGTGGCCTGCACATGTTCCACGTTACAGTATTTGTCGGATCAAATAGAAGTCGTGCCTACCTAGACCCTTCCCATGTTATGTCCCGCCAGAAGGACCGGTGCTCTGTGGAGGAGGACGTTTGCTTGCCCCGCCTCGGGCGGTTGTCATAAGAAAATGTGTTTTATTGATGTTACGAGGGGAATGGCAGGGAGCCCGACCCCGACACTCGCCCAGTTCGTTCGGTGAACACCTTAGCCAGGCTGGGATGCCAGCACACTCAGAGCCCGCTGTAGCTGGGTTCGGCTGGCCAATGTGACGGTAACGGTCTCTGGAGCACTCCCAGCCCTGGCCAATGTGACGGTAACGTGTCTCTGGAGCAATCCCAGCCCTGGCCAATGTGACGGTAACGTGTCTCCGAAGCAATCCCAGCCCTGTCATGACCCCCGCGAGACGGCCCACCGACCAGACCCTGGCGCTGTCGAACGGACAGTGATCGGGCTCCAGTCGGGTGCGACGTGATCCGCTTCCCGTTGCCCTGAGGTCAACCGCCCCGGGCTGGAGCGGTACCGCCTTACGCGTGAGGCCGTAGGCGCCTGAGCCTGGTGTCTCGGAGCTTTGGTCAACGGCTGGGAGACGCGACTGAGTGGGTGCGCTTCCGCCGCAGGTACGGCGCCCCCTACGATCTCGCCGCGCGGAGGAAGAACGCCACGCGCGAGTCTACAGGCACGCTGAAGGCGTGGCTGAACGACCACAAGAAGAACCCGTACCCGACCAAGGGCGAGAAGATCATGCTGGCTATCATCACCAAGATGACGCTGACGCAGGTCTCCACCTGGTTCGCCAACGCCCGGCGGAGGTTGAAGAAAGAGAACAAGATGACCTGGGAGCCGAAGAACAAGACGGAGTCGGACGAGGAAGCGGACGAAAACGCCGATTCCAAAGACAAAGGCGACAAGGATGAGATGGACGGTGAGAAAGGTAGGTTGAACGCTTCTGTTCAGCCGTCCGGGATATGCCCGCATTATGTGGACAGAATGTGCCCGGCGCGGGTATGTGCAGCGATCAGAGCTGCCACTTTTGGGGAGTCGGAAAACCCGCCTTAAACCGATGCCCAAATTTGAAAACCCACCCTTTCCCGCAAAAATTATTAATTCTGGAGAAGCTCACTTGGGCTCTAAATGTTAATTTGTTTTCGTTGGCACACACGAGCGTGCAATACATTAGCAAATGCATTTCCAACATTTGTTTATTATCGCACCTGAATAGCTTGAATGATACAGATACTCTAATCAGCTGAGACAGGGGTGCCTGGTTCCTCCACGCCGCAAATGTATTGTATGCGGTAAACGAACCTCTTCCTCAGACATTAAGTTACTCGTCAAGTATGAATCATCGTTATCTTCTGAAATGTCTCCAGAAGCTTCAAGGAAGAACCTAACTAGGCCAGTAATCAACCCAATTATGTTGTGTAATAAGTCTATAGGCTCGCACCCGCTGTCCACAACCCGCACCATCCAGGAACTGCAATTGTCGTCTCGATTGCGGTATTTACCACTAGATTCGTAAATATATCAAAAACGGCAGACTGCTGTAGCACCGAGAGGTAGCCACATCTGTAAAAAAGTATTTCTCCGGTTTTTGTGCGAGCTGCCACAAGTGCGAGCGATTCATGGTTAGCTTTAAATGAAGTCTGCATGATTTTGCCCTTATATGATTGTCCTTTGATGATTGATTGCCGTTTCTGAAATGGCTGTAAAACCAGAATTCATCAAGCAAACACGACCTGGGCGACGATGGCCTCATGAAAACGGACTAGGAAAAGCGTGTTGCGTAAAGGCACAGGACGAAAGTTTCAAAATGGCGGCGGAAGAAACACTCACGACAAAGACCCGCCAGAACCAAAACACAGATAAAACGAGATTGGCGAACAGGCATCTGTGAGGATTACGTGTTGCTTTAAGGTGTTTTACCATTGGGAAACAAAATGAGTTGGCCGAATATTTTCAGGGCATTTAACGATGTGGTTACCATCATCTGTTGAGGCATGCTTTTCAGCACCTACGCTTTACACTTTGCCTTTCCGCCTTCGACTAAGTTAGAATGTTGGTATCTCATTTAAGCCACGACCAATACGAAATTTATTTATCAGTTGCTGCTAAGTTATATAAGATGTGCTATACTTTTTGTGTTAGCAACTTCGTTCCACTTAGCATGTGCTTTAAGGCAAAATCATAAAATGTTTTCTTAAGATTTCGGCAATTAGCATTTTGTAAATCATGGATTTCTGAAAGCCTGCTAGACCCAGCCACATTGCCAGCAATATCCCTAAAAGTACTGCGGGCTTACTCAGTTTGAAATGTGGAGAGATAATCCGTTCAACGCACTACTTCTAATCGTCTGTGCCGTCTTCGCCAGACTGCTCTGTCCAACCGGAGACAGGGAGCATCTCGCCGCCGGCCAAGACAGAGGTCAAGGCCGAGACCCTCTCACCGGACCCTCGACTGGAAGGCCAAGGCACTGGAGGCCGACCAAAAGCCCAAGATCTGGTCCCTGGCCGACACGGCCGTCTGCAAGACGCCGCCGGCGCCGGGCGCCTGGCCGCCGGCCCCGCTGCCGCCTGGTGCTGGCGCGGTACGCTGGGTACGGCACGGCGCCCCCGGCCCCCGCCGCGGCCGGGTACGCTGCCCGGCCAGCCGCGTACCGGGCGGTCGACGGTCAGTACGCTGCGGTGGGGGTACGGTGAGGGCGCGGCCGACACGCCGCCGCTGACGCCGCCGGCACTGCGGGCGAGCCGGGCGGCCGCCGCCCGCCGGCCGCCGCAGCCGCCGCCGCAGCCGCGGTCGCCAGCGATCCGCTCCAGGCCGGCGGCGTGTCGGGCTACGCCGGACCGTACGGCGCTCTGGTGGCGGCGGACGGCCGGAGCGACCCCCTACCAGGACGCACATGACCATGCACCAGCACCACCAGCAGAGCCTACACCACCACCAGCAGCAGCAACAGCAGCGGCCAGCAGCAGCAACAACAGCAAGCAGCAGCAGCAGCAGCAGCTCCAGCAGACACAGCACCAGCATTTGCAACACCCGCCTCAGGCTCTGTCAGCCGACCTCATCCCCTTCGCCAGCGGCTACAAAGAGTGAGTATGCAAATTACATATAGCGGAAGAAAAATGAACAAAGACGACAGAAAGCTTTCTTATTCTTCATCACCGCTACCCTTTTTGGTATATCAATATATTTTTGGAACTTCGTAAACAGAGGCGAGGCCAGAGTCTGGATAAGGAGAGGGGTGGGGAGCTCAGCGTCGACAAAGGGCCCCTGATGATGGCAGGGCCCAAGTAACTGGATATGGCTCACTTGACGGCAAGGGGCACGATTTTCTTCGTTTGCTCTATTTTTACCTTCTTTAACTGAAACAGAAGCCAGGATGCACCCGAAAGATACAATGCTGTTTGTGTTCTAATGTCAACAAACTGGGAGGCACGGGTGTCAAATGATTTCATAGAATAAGCCCTGGTGCTATTTATTTTACAATGTTTCAGTGGACTCTTTCTTAGCCGATAACACTCAGGCACTGTGCCGAATTTTTCTGTGTTGTACAGAAATATCGTGAGTATAGGTCTCAATCGGAACGGGGGTCCTACATTTGCATTGAAATAGACCTATCTCCGTCCAAATGTGCCCATCTTTGTTAAGAACTGAGCAAGCGGACGAGCAACATGTCACAGTTTTGGTGACGCGTGTTCGCAAGTCTCAGAACAAAACCCCGACGCCCGGCGTTGCAGTCTCCAGAGGCGCGTGGCCCAGACCCCTTGTCACTAAGTGGCGGTCAACGGGTGGACAAAATCGACAACACTTCTGAAGGAAAGTACCTTTCAACTCATTACACTGTTTAATGGTACGTTTGGCAGGTATATTCCGGGGGATATGTCACCTGTGCAATTTTTGGACTTGCGATAGGGAATGGATTAACGTTCACAGCACCGCGAACCGGAGCTGGAATGTGATGGTAGAACTAGAGAAGTAAAGGTAGAGAATCTCTATGTTCGTGTTGCTGTCGCTGTTTATCTCTTCAGAGGACAGTCCCAAATTCCGAGAGCAAAATGTACACCATAGTCTAACTTCTGAACGGCACGAATTGATGTCAAAAGACTTTGGAAGCATTATTTCACGACGGCTGTTCTCGGGCGCCAGGCACCCACTGCCCGGTGTTAGCTGCAGTGGCCAGCGCCACTCGGCTTGACAGAAAACGCAAACCCCGGCCATTGCTGTTCGTGCTCCTAAGATTGTGGGCACGTCGGCTTCAAAAACGTTGATGCAATCTGTTTCACATGTTGACCTGAACAAGGATGGACGACTCGTTTTTGCTGGCTTTTCATTTTGACCTCAGTGTGATTCGCCCTATTGATCACTAAGCAAACCCATTGCTTTTTCCGCGCAAGGGACCCATTGCGTAGAACACGAGGGGGAATATTATAATTCCCGGCCAGATGTTTCCGTGTCATTATAGCGTGCGGTGCCTGCCGGCTGCTAGGCCGACCACCCAAGAGCGGGATACCCTGGTCGATACGGAAACCCTTATAAGGATATTTCATACATCTATCGCCTACCTGACACCGGAGGCCCCTGACCCGGCCATTTGGCCCGAGATGGACGTAGGGGGTCCCTCACTAATGCAAAAAGATCCCTTATCGTCGCGGGCGTCCAATGATTGGCATGAAGACCGCGGTTCGGCATAGCGGGCCCCTGGCTGACATGGACTGGAGAGCACTCCGTACCGTACAGAGACCGTGTCTGACAAATGGCCTTTTATGGTCACATTGTGGGCCCTCATCGCAAACTCTCTTATTCACTTCCATTGTCATATGACCTCGAGGCCCCTGGAATTCCGTGTCCCGTCCTTGTCCGGCAAATATTCCTCTTGCCGACCCGAGGCCCCTCGCCAACACTGGGCTCTCTTCTAGGCGCTGTGGGCCCCTGGCTGACAAAGAGGCCCTCGTTGCTTCGAGGAGCCCGCTCCCGACCAATGCAAATCGCGTGTTCCGACCTTGTCTCTGCTTGGGAAATGGGCCCCCATCGCTCAGACCAAAACGCAGCCGACTGTCCGGTGTTGGTAGTCTATGGCCGAAATAGAGACCTGCATTGCCCCAGGACGTCCCCAATCTGTGCAAGAGGCCCTCTGGCTGGCATTTGACGGTCTGGCCCTGCGGGCTGAGGACCTTAATGTGAGCTACAAACAGTCCTTTGTGCCCTCCAACCGGGCGCTTCACCGTCAGGCCCGAGGGGCCCCTGGGGCCCTCCCGTGGGGCTCCTCTGCGGCCCATTGAACACTGCCTAGGCCGACCGTGGGCTCATTGTCAATACAGGACCACTGTCAGGCACTGTGGTCCCCTTACTGACACGGGGGCCCCTCATTGACTTAAGTACTCGACCAAACGCATAACGCGGGCCCCGGCCCTGTACCTGCTTGGGAAATGGACCCTGAGTCCCAGACCCGACGCTGAGGTATCCTAGTGACAAATCTTCACGTGTTACGGTCGTTAAGCCTCCATCATAAGACTGCAGCTTTGCAAAATATAATTGGGAGTCAGGCGGGGAAAACCTGCGCCAAATACACTGAAAAACAGGTTACATCCCGGATTTGATTCACTTTCTTCTCACCGTTACGAAGTTGAACACCTTCCCCTCTTACCAGAATAGGAAGTTACAGCCCTGGTCTTATACGTTTCCTTGCTCTGCCTCGGTGAAAATGATGCTGTCGTTGGGCATCGCTATAATTTTGTTCCACGTCGATCGTCGAAACCAGGTGTCGGTAATCGACGCAGGGTCAGATGTTATGCGGCTTCATATGTTGTTGAACGTGCATGGCTTCGGGGACAAAGATTGAAGATTGAGTTGCGCGAACGACAATATCTGCCCCGGAAACATCCGGCTCGCTACAGCAAGGTGGGTGCAGGCTGCAGTGCAGCACCCGCGTTAGGCTCGTTCGACACGGCAGGTGCTGTTTTGGCGGTCATTGTCGGACGCTTCCCGCTGGCGATTTGGTCAGTTGGTATCGATCGTTGGATTTTTGCAGCTGTTTCATAAAATATGCGCATCGAAATGAGGGTCAGCGCATTTCAAGGGCTATTCCGAATCTAGAAGACTAATAACTTGGTTTGCATTTTTGGGTGCACAAATGCGACCGGTTTGCTTTCGTTTTTCGATGCGATTTTGAAGCAAAATAACGCAACTTGCTGCAGTCTGTAAGGCTTGAAATATTGCTGAGTGATACCAAAACACTCGGACGATAGCACAAAACCTGAGTCAACAAGAGATATCAAATGTGCACTTAAAAACATGCAGGGTGCAAGGCTCAAGTAAATACAGTACGAACAAGGAGCTCAAAACGTTTGATTAGCCCAGTCAGCTGCACTCAACTGGACATGGCATCGCAGTTCTCCTTTCCTGGTTCCTTCTACTTGTGAAACAATCAGTAGAAACATTTTTTTATAAATTTGACGAAATATCGAGCTCCTGCTTGTAATATTCTGCTTGTTCTTAGGCTCCAGAAGGCTGGGGAGGGGCTGAATATTGAAAAATTACATTACCTCCCCTAAAGTAAGACACCATGCGAGCGCCTCCCTGGATTTGGCCCACTTTTTCTCATAGAACCCCCTTTCCGCCCTCCAACTAAATAGGAAACTACACTTGTGTTAAAGACTGAAGTTCCGTACTTTACAAACTATTCGCGCATCTTGTGTAATGCATACCGCTTCGTCGAGTTGTCGCATAGTCCACTTACTGGTAGTACTAAAAAACTTAGATGGCTGAATGTCATTGAGCCGACTTTGTTTGACTTCAGGTTTCTTGGGATGCGTAACTATCGAGCCACGTAGCGGAAGCGGAATGCAGAATTCCGTGATATTGATTGATCCTCCTCATAATACCCCTGGTGATACGGGCTTAAGAAGCAAACACGGTCATGCAGGAAATTTGCATGCACTGCGCCAGTCAAGACGCAGTGTACGTCTCTCAATTAGCCACTGGAACTTTACAAATAGAGCTTCAAACAAACTGTTCCCACGTTTAGATACCGAGCACCGGAGTGCGACTCGATTTAGGTGGTTAGGCTAGCAACCAGAAACTTGATGCCATGTCATCTGAGTGTCAAGCGTTGTCGCTGCCACGCTGATATCTTTCCATAGAGATGGTAGACTGCGTAGTTGATCAATAATTTTCATCGCTCAATGTTTCACGGCAAGCGTTCGTGGATATCATCAATTTGAAATAAGACAAGGTAATTACTGCCACAAAACTGTAAAAGATGAAGCTATCACCCAGCTAAAACGGCGTCATTCCAGGGCCGTGTTTGGAAAGCTGCGAGCCTGTGAAAAACACTTCGCCGAAATACTTCAGGCCAGGCCATTCGCTCAAGCCGGGAGTACCTTTTTCAGCAACTTTGCAAACTCTTTGCTTTGCAACTTGGCAACAGCTTTGCACTCGCCGCACGGCGACTCTCAACGGCTTTGGTCGAGCCAGAATTGGGCTAAGACGTTAACAAGTTCAACTGACCTTTTGTGTGCTAACTCGCGCCGACATTGTCATGTAACATCTGTCATTTTAAAGCGGGGCTGTGATGGGTTTAAAAGTGATCTAAGAGGAATGTGATGTGAGGTTCAGTAGGAGCAAAGGTTTCACTAGGTATGTCGGAAATACAATTAGTTGTCATTGTTTGCCATAAGGCGGTGCTTGCTACGCAGTGATT